GAGTTCTGTACTTGACAAGGCACTAAAGAAAAGTGGAAGGCATAAGGCATACCGGTGATATCAGTGCCGAAGCCGCAAAAGAAATATTGTGCATGATCTTCAATTTTCATCCTCAAGTTACATGTGTTGTACTTGGCATTTTCAGGGATTTGGAGGCCCTCTTTTAGCTACCTAAATACTTATATCATTCGATACCCTTTTGATTCTGTACTGATTTCTTCGACCTCCCCTCTTTTGGAATCAAGTTAGAGTCATACGGGGAAAAAAAAGAAAAACAATTCATGTCCCCATAGGATTATTTTAGAAAGTTCATTCCAAAAGGAAAATTCAAAAAAATAAAAAATAGAGATAAGGAAAAAAAAGGAAAAAGAAAAAAAAGAATAAAAAAAAGAAAAAAGAAGAAAAAGAAAATAGTAACAAAAGTAGTGTTGTGAACTACGTTTGACCTGATTCTTGTCACCACAATATACGTAGGCAGCCTTATGGTTCCGTCATACCAAATAAAATATTTTATAATCCCACGAATTCGAGAGTGGGAAGTCTTTCTTAGTAACTCCATCAAAAAAAGAGAATCAAATTCTCTTATTTTAGAAATTGCTGCAAAGTTTTGATATGGATTCCAAAAGTTGTAAATAAAGTAACCCGGTTATCTTAATTATTTTGAGCCTTTATGGTATTCTCTCTTTCTAATCCTGTCCAAAAGCCATATTACAGTCCAAAAAAGTCCTCCCAGATAATATTTGAGAGTGTCGAGTTTAGACATGCTAAGAGTATATGATGTTTTTACCATGGTTAATGCCTTTCATCTACAGAATCAGAAGAAATAAGAAGAAAAGAACAAAATGAAAGTCTTATTAGTGAAAACCTTCACAGGCACCATAAGTCGATGGTGAGTTGAGAGAAAGAACAAAATGAGAGAGTCTTGATGGTGAAAACCCTTCGGGCACTACAAGTCGAATGGATCGTGAATCAGATTGGATAATCGGAGCATTGAAGCACAGTTTCACGATTTAGGGGTATAACAAGAGTTGAACATCATACTTGTTTGACAGATTAGGCCACAGGTGCATGTCATGGTCATTAGAGTTGGTATCCACATCTGATAAGTTTCTACTTTGTAGTTTTCTTGTTAGGAATCATCTCTTTCCATTGTTCTTTACTCTGTTCCTTTGTCTTGTTTACTTCCTCTTCTTGAGTCTGTTTGGTCAGAACAAGTGAGAAATGACTTCAAAATTTTCCACCAGCTTTCCAATTGCATAAAATAGGATCTGGCTAACACATCAAAGTGGCATAAGCCATGAAAGAACAGCATGCACACTGAGTGGGCGGCAATTGACGTGCTTTGGGATTTATGTGAAACACAAAGGTTCAGTGTATGTCAATGCATGAGCACAATGCAACAGATGAATGGTATTGGGTTTGAATGGATCAGAGTTATTTTCCGTGATAAGGGTGACAGAGAAAGTGGTCAGTCAATAAATAGGCAAGGTCTTTCGAGTTGAAATCGAAGTTATCATGGGAAGTGAAGGAGGAATCGCCCTCAACGTCAAGGCCACAAACCAACCACCATGTTTAAACTCACAAGTTTTTTTTGTTTGAAACAGGGATGAGGACTATGTCCAAATCAAAGCTTGGAATCTTGAATTTTTCAAATGTCGTGCCCAAAATTATGTTAGCACAAAGGCATTTTGAGAAGGGGAAAGAAATTTGTTCGATCTGCAAGAACCCTCCATGAGGAAAAGAATGGTTCAGGGGCAAGGGATTTTGTTCGTTCTGCAGAGATCCTCCAGGAAGAATGCATGGCTCAAGTAAGTTCATTCTTAGCTTTTCAGGATCCTCCTGGATAATGGAATTTAGTTTTATGTGTTCAGGACCCTCCTGGATAATGGAATTTAGTTTTAAGTGTTCAGGACTCTCCTGGATAATGAGATTTAATTTTAAGTTTTTAGGACCCTCATAGATAATGAGATTTAGCGTAAGTTTTACCGTTAGGAAATTGAATTTATCTTTCAAGTTTTCACTCTTAAGATAAGATTTAATTTTCAGGACCCTCCTGGATAATGGGATCTAGCTTTTAAATTCTTACAGATATTGGGTAACATGATTCGGTTAACACTCACAGATGTTCCCAATATCAAACTGAGGCAGAAAAATTTCTTTTGTTTTATCTGTTTTGTTGAAATCAGGCTCCCACCTCGAGAACAAAGGAAGATGGCACAAGTTCAAAGGAAAGCGGGTCAAGCTCAGCAATCAGGCGCCCACCTGGAGAAAATGGGAAAATGGTTCAAGCATCAAGGGAAAACAGTTCCAAGTAGCAAGAGAAGATGGTTCGAGTATCTGCAATCAGGTGCCCACCTGGCAAACAAGAGAAAACAATTCAGGTTTCAGAGGAAAGGCATACAAGTCAAATGTTGGTAATCAAACGTCCACCTAGAGAACAAGGGAAAACAGCTCAAGTTTCAAGGAAAAGCAGTTCGAGTTTTAGCAGTCAGTAGCCCACCTAGAGAACAAGGGAAAGCAACTCAAGTTTCAGGGAAAAGCAGTTCAAGTTCAACAATCAGAAGCCCACCTGGAGAACAAGGAAAAACAAGTCAAGTTTCGAGGGAAAAGTAGTGCAAGTGTTGGAAATCAGGCACCCACCTGGAGAACAAGGAGAAGCAGTTCAAGTTTCGAGGAAAAGTAGTGCAAGTTTCGGGCAAAAAGCAGTGCAAGTGTTGGAAATCAGGCACCCACCTGGAGAACAAGGAGAAGCAGTTCAAGTTTCGAGGAAAAGTAGTGCAAGTTTCGGGCAAAAAGCAGTGCAAGTGTTGGAAATCAGGCACCCACCTAGAAAACAAGGAGAAGCAGTTCAAGTCTCAATGAAAAATAATGCAAATGTTGGTAATCAGGCACCTACCTGGAGAACAAAGGGAAAGCAGCAATGTTCAAAGGAAGATGGTCAAGTTCAGCAATCAGGCGCCCACCTGGAGAGCAAGGGAATATAGTTAATGTTTTGGAAATCAGATGCCCACCTAGAGAGCAAGGGAATACAGTTAAAGTTTTGACAATCAGGCGCCCACCTGGAGAGCAAGGGAATATAGTTAAAGGTTTGGCAATCTGGCGCCCACATGGAGAGCAAGGGAACACAGTTAAAGTTTTGGAAATCAGGCGCCCACCTGGAGAGCAAGGGAGTACAGTTGAAGTTTTGGCAATCAGGCGCCCACCTGGAGAGCAAGGGAGCACAATTAAAGTTTTGGCAATCAGGAGCCCACCTGGAGAGCAAAGGAATACAATTAAAGTTTTGGCAATCAGACACCCACCTGGAGAACAAGGAAAGCAGTTCAAGTTTCAAAGGAAGACATCACAGGTTTCAAGGGAAAACAGTTTAAAGTAACAAAGGGAATACAATTCAAGTTTTGGTAATCAGGCGCCCACCTGGAGAGCAAGGGAATGAAGTTCAAATGTTGGCAATTAGGCGCCACCTAGAGAATAAGGGAATCCACATCAGAGTGCAATTCAAGTCAGCAACAAAAGAAGCTCGCGGCAAAAATGCGAGTCAACAGTCCGAGATGATCAACGGAAGTTAGTCATAATCCAGAATAAAAAAAAATAAAGGCAAGAATTGAATCCAAATGCAGAAGTTGATGAAAGATGTGGGCTGCTCAAGACATGACTGAAGTCACAAGCATGGCATGCCCGATCTTGATCCGGAAAGTTAAAGAAGAATGAGCTAGCACCTGTAGCTAACAAGCGCCAAAGTTCAAATCTAAAGTCCCCATGAAGAACCATTCAAGACTCAAGACCAAGCTTCAGAAGACTTATAGATAGGAATCTTGTAACTCATAGTTGGCAAGCTTAGCTAGTATTTTTCATTTTTTGATTTTTGATGTAATAACAGGACCACAGACCGGAACCTCGATGGAACGACACCTTGATCGGCTCTCCACCTCAGTATACTCCATAACTGTTCTCACTTCTGAACTACACGTGGCCTGATTCCTTTATATCCAAGGATATGTAGGCAGCTCAGATACCAGGGCTCAGTCATATTCTCCTTTCTTTTAGCTTTTGGTCTCTTTAAATAAGGATCGGGTCAAAAACCTGTCTATTCATTCTTTGTCTGAAAACTCTTCGCGTATCCAGTCAAAGAGGGGCAGCTGTAGACATGTGATTTTTGACCCTCCCCGAGATTTCACCTATTTTAGCATGTAAACATATACTTTAGGCCTAATATCGTTATTTCAACTAATTTTGACACTTTTACTTTATTTTATTACAAGAAAATAAAAATTACGAAAAACAAAATTTTTATTAATGTTTTGTAGTCATTTTTAATCTTGAAAAATACCAAAAATAGTTTCGTTTTAATGGTAAATCCTATTTTAATAGTTATTTTACTTAGTAGGATTAATTAATAAATGAGATCGTATTTTTAATCTCATTCGCGGGGAAAGAATAAAATTTGGGCTCAAACGACCCATTTTTAGGCCTAATTTTCGGATCTATCCCATAATTCCTAGGCCCATATCCCTTAACCTTAAAAACTTACAAAAACCTAGACCTATACAATATAGACCTAATGCCTAGGAGACTAACAAATCAGGCGCTGCAATTCACCAAGAAC